CTGTGTATGGTTGCACATTTTAAAGATTGATATGGCTGTTTATACATTTCCCAGCATCACAGTGTCACAGTACAGTATACCATAGCGGCTAATAGAAATTAATGATAACAAAATTTTCTTTGTTTCTGTTCATCTAGTAAATCTCCAATAAATAAGAAACTGATGCAAATGAATCACTTTCCGTCTCCTCTTCAGTCGTGGCAGCGACGGGTGATCAAGCTCTTTGTGGCTGATTTGACTCACTTAGTTGAGTCACTGTGTTATTCAGCAGTGTGTAATTAATCACCAACAAGGCACATTTTCAGTACTAGAGTGGTTTTTAAGAGGTTTTGGAATATGTGAAAAAACACGGAAGCAGGGTTCAGTTGTATTTTATTTGCAAGGCACATTTAGGAGAAATTAATTTCTTTAATCGTCTAGATAGATATAAACTAAAAGTAATATCTCTTCCATTTTCAGAAGCCTCCATGATCACAGTGAAGCCATTTACCCCACTCAGCAGAACAAGCTGCATATTAATGAGTACTACTCTGTGTAACACCGTGCAGTTATTTATTCAGGTCTACATTTGCAGCTAATTACATCTTCATCCTCTTTCCAAATAGAGGGAGATTTATTTGCGAGAGAGAGTTTTAAAGCGGTGAGATTTCTCACTCGGCAACCTGCAGACAGGACTTCCTTTGCATCGCTATTCCATCTCCTCAGCTGACAGATGATTGACTGAATGTAGATTTATATACATATACAGTATGTGCACTTGAGTGTGTTATAGTGTGTGTGTGTGTGCATGTATATGTCCTCCATACTAAATATTCTGCGAAAGTGAGTGCTCAGTGTTTCATGAAAAATGTTAAAGATTAAATTGAAAGCAAACATTAAATTAGTTTTGAAGTAATAAAAAGTGCTCCGTTCTTTATTACACAGCTGTCCACCTCATACTGTAGGTTTATTGGTGGATTAGATGTAATTGGAGTTGTCAGTTTCTCATGATTCATTGAAGATGTTATGTAATGATGATGGCTGTTGCTCATCGATGATGAAATCTTTGTGTTTTTTTTTTTTTTTACAGCCACAATGCCTCTTTCTGACCAAATCAGCCAATATTCAATACTGGTGCCATATCCAAAATATCTCCAGTGAGCTGCCATTTCATACAAACTGCAGACAGTTCACAAAGAGCTAAGAGGAAAATATCCATCTTCATTAGAGATCCTTTCCTGCGTGTTGACTCAAAGCAGAGGTGGCTGTTGTAGCCATTGACCTGTCCCCTCTCACGGAGCTTTGGCTCAGTGGGTGCAGGACTGTGGATTGGCCTCTTAAGCTGCACTTCATTAGGGTCAGCGCAGGGAGAGATTGAAGTGGAGAGGGATGTTTGCTCGGTGCAGGCCGTTGTTAGAGCTGCCGCTTTACTGAGGGGAAAAGCTAACAAGTGCAGAAGCCAGCAATTATCAGTGGATAATCGACCTCGAGTACACGTTATTGATTTTAGGAATGCCGTGGTGTTTTAGGACTGAACGCTGCAGATTTTAGTGGCTTTTTATTGTGGTGCCTCAGTGGAGTTTAATTTAAGGCCTCATATGATGTACTTTGCACACTTACCATCACCAAAAGCCTTTTTTTCTATTTTATTTTTAGGCATGTTGCCCATTTTATTTTTTGTCCCCCAAAATGAACAACTCATTCCAGCTAGAATAGGGATTTTATTTTGTTTGATATTATTGAATTGTCACTAAACCTCAACTCCTTATGTAATGCTGCCAAACTCTTCCTTTTAGCCCAGCATGCATGCAGATTACAGTGATAACAGTGGCACATTTACCTCTGAAAAGATAATAAGATAGTAAGATAAAGAAAAAGGCCTCTGAGTGTTGGTTGATGCTTGGCTGAGATGACTACATCGTGAATTAGCATTAACTCTGTGATCTGGTTAAATTTCTCTTGTATTAAGCTGACGTTTATTTCTTTATTTGAATAAGATTCTCTTTTTCAAACATGTATTAGACATCTACATTCTATAAGAGGAAAAAATTACCATATTATATCACCCAGTTCAGAATGAAATGAGAGACGAGGACTAAACTGAAAGAACCAATGACAAAAAATCAGCCTAAAAATTCATCTTTTAGTATTGAATAATAAGGGAAAATGCATTATCAGACTATTTTGCCACATGCAGAGGTGTTAATCTACAATTAAGCTAAGCTACATGGAAAAAGAATGTATACAAAAAGGTCAAACTGATACGTTTGGCAGAGACATCCTTGATAAATGTTTCTAAACAGAATGCAAATGAAGTCACAGGCAATAGTCCAGCTTAACTCATTTAGAAGTGTCAGTGGCTGACTTTTTATAAGTCAACATGCAACCCCACAGTAATGCATTTAGTTATTTTTTTGCCAAATACTGGCTTGAAAGCAATGCATCGTAGCAATGACAGGCAGTTACCGTACCCACTAACATTAGCCTAACTAAATTATTATTTTCATTCCTCAGATTTTTGGTCCTGTGTTTTCAGAAAAGTGATTAAACAAAAAGCAACACTGACAGAACTGTCTAACTGTTGACTACCTCTCCTACTATCATATTAAGTACAGCAGTGGACGTATGAAAACCGCAAGAATACAGTGCTGCCACAGAGGCCTGTTGCGAACTTGCCCACTGTGGGGTGGTCACTTGTGTTCCTCTCCTGTAGCTCCCAAAGCATTTCCCCCCCAGACCAACATTATGATAGAAATGTTTTACTCTTTCTAACGTGAATTCTAAAACCATGAGATTTCATGTTTTGAAAATCTCTCCAGCACTACAAGTGAATTTGTTTTCATGATCATCAAAGCTTGAATCAGTTGGCGGGACCATCCTTTAGGAAACAGTTATACGCATGTGCACAATGCAAAAGCTAACCTGGAAGCTAGAAAACATTTTTCATGTGACAGGTGAGCAATATTCATTCATGTGAGCAAGCCACGATATTCAAGTGTGGTATCCAGTTCTCTGCAGACAGACCTGCTTGTGCCTGACTACGGCTGCTAAGTTTAAACAGTTTGAAGGTGAGGTTAAGAAAACAAGCACTTACAGAAATGGCACTGTTAGCTCACATAAAATATTACTTTGTTTTATCATAAAAAAGCCTTTAGTGTAACCTATATATTTTTTTAATAAGAGTGGAAGAAACATCAGAAAAAGTGAAGGAGGGTGATATAAAGAGAGTATAAGGGCGGCTTAGCCAAGTTAAATGATCTGCCATTGTCCTTTCAACCAGTTTGAATTTATGGTACAGACTTCCTGAATTTTATACTGATTAAGCATGTTATTTCTTGTGGAGGAGGCAAAGATGATTAAGATTTTCTCATATAAATCAGCTTAAGCTTCAGGCAACAGGCTGGTCAGCACAAATGACTTCCCAGATCTCAGACCACACTCCCTTCCATTTACAGTATCTGTATCAGGCTGCATACATTTGTTGCATATGTGTGGTACTGTTTGTGCAACAATTATACTTTATTATTTAATATTGAGAAACTACTTGGAAGCCAGACAGGCAATTCTCTTTGATTTCCTCTGAGCAAATCCATTCAAAAGCAGAAAACTGAATTTTCTTGTAGTGTACTGTGCTTTATTGTGTGTTTAACAAAAATTGCCAAATTGACTGTCAATTTAGGCAATATTGGTCTCAGACTTGTACTGGTCGTAGTGGTACTACCAGTGAAAAAGTCAGTCTGGAGCCCAGTGGCGGCTGGTGAAAATGTTTGGTGGGGGGGTGCAGTCTGCAAATAACCTTTTATTTAAAATCAGGAATTAGAATATGAGTAACATCAGGCACAACCATTTACAGGAATGCAAATTGTCTACCTTTGGAGGATATTCTAATCATAACACAATTTAACGTCATCAAGACTTACCAGAAGTAAATTTCAAAACCATTCATCAAACTTTCAGCAATGTTTACAGGATCAGTATAAACTCAAAACACACAACATAAATAATGAAAACAAACAAACAAACAAACAAACAAAAAAAACACTATTTAGGGCTCCAGACTGACTTTTTCACTGGTTGTACCAGTACGACCCACTTTCTCATTTTGTTGCACCTTCCAACTGCTCAAAGGTTAAACATGTGACTTTCTGAACATTTTCTTGTGGATAGACCCTTCGATTTACTGATGCTCCCTGAACGCCTCACACAGCAGGCTGCCATAGATGCTGTTTGGTGGCTGTGGTGTGCTCTAAAAGGTGTGCAACCAAAAATGACTTTAAAAATGATAAACTAGGGCGTTCTCATGTCAGATTTGTTGGAGGTTAAACCCAGTTACATGAATTCTACACGCGCTCTTTTCTACGAGCAGTCTTTTCTCCACTTACAGCAGGCCGATGCATTAAACCGTCACAACAGTAGCTGTGATGGAGTAGTAGAGGAGGGGAAAGGCCGTGACGGTGTCAGAAAGCGCAGTCGTAAGAACGTCGAAGGACAGTTTTGATATCCAACCACAGAAGACAAAAGCAAATAAAGACAAAATTTATTGGCTTACAGCAAAAGTGGGAGGGTCCGGGTCGCACCGAGCTGCGTCCCGTGAAAAAGTCTGCAGCTGCCAATCAGAGCACAGGCCAAGATCACATGATCATGAAAAGTTTTTCGAGCTACATGCACACTCATGTGGCCGGCGCCCCACATCCAGGAAATGTAGAATTAGTAAACACACAGTAAAGACATATTAAATCTGTTAATAATACAAATATTGTTCATATATCAAAAAAATGAACGTTATTATTAATTTTATTATTATTTTGTTACAATTAATTACGATTTAATTTTACGTTTGAGAACTACTTTTTATCTGGACATTAGGAGTGGGAGGGCGGCGCCCCTGCGCCCTGTATTAACCAGCCGCCACTGGTCAGCACTGATTTGTTGACTCTTCTTATAAAATTTTAATCGATGTAGTGTTGACTGATTGTAATGTTGCTTTTTTGCATTTTTTTCTGTCTTCCTTTCTTCCGCAGTACCCGCATGCAGTCTCTGCAGGTGGACTCAGTCCAGCGCTGGATGGAAGACCTTCGCCACATGACGGAGGTGGAGTGTATGTGTGTCCTCCAGGCCAAGCCCATCGGGGTGGAGGAGGACTCCCAGCAGGGAGAGCTGATTGTGGCCTCCGGTGTCGGTGCAGGGGACCATGTGGCCAGGAACAACCTGCAGACGCTCCTTCGCCGAGCACTGGTGGTCAGCACGGAGCTGGGAAAGATGTTCCAGCGGCTGGAGAAGGGCCGCTGGCAGAGGGTCCACAGCACGGCTGTACGGGCAAACTGCCACGTGCGCTCACTGGTGCATGAGTACAGCGCTGCCCGAAGCACACCGCCTGAGATGCAGAAGGTGATTCTTGACTGATTCTGAAAGTGGATTCAAACTGAATTTATTTTAATCTGCATCACTTATGAGCTTGTCTGTTGTCTATAAATCCCTGAGCAGTCTGGTTGAAAGTCAACAACATAATGTCACTCTCAAGGGTGGAAGTATTCTGTACAAGCTAAACATTTGTCCTACCCTACAGTATATTTTATGTTTGAGGCACTTCTCAATGCATTTTAACTCCCTGTTGTTGCAGTATGAGAAATCATTGCTGGAAAAGTGTATGGAGCTGACGAATATTACAGAAAGGTAAAATTCTACAAAGTCAATGCACAGTCATAAGAACAATGTGGACCATTGTATGTACACCATGTGTTTTACTCTTTCATCCACAGGTGCCTTCACACTGATGATGAATTCTTCCTGAAATCCATGAGAGAGGCCATCCACGAGATTCTCACAGATGTCAGCGATTCATTCAGCAACATGATTGACATGGCTTTAGCTAATGAGATCCGGGTACGTAGTGCAGAATAATAACTTCCCCAGTATATTTACCATCTGTATTTGAGTATATTTCAGTCCTTCAATCGTGCTTTGTCATGTTGCTAGTTATTAATCAGTAAAGGTGATGAAGCCTCATCTGAATCATTCTCTGTTCGAGGGTTTGTTGTTGCTTCGTGCCTGCATGTGTGTGACTCAACTGGGATATCACTTTACCTCATTCATGCATTAATACCTGCAAGCGCTTCAGTGGAAATATAAACATTGGCTCACTATTATGTTTGTTTACACTGATGGGGAGTTATGTCATCTTTGTGTGCCTTAGAGAATTAAGACAAACTAACAGACTTTTCTTTTAGTCCAGTTCATCCATAATTACAGCCCTGCAGATGTACTGATGGGTACTAACATTTCAAGGATGCATTTTCAGGATGCAAAAAAGTTCAGATTTATGTTTATGTCAGAATCAATCAGTCCACCAAACATTTACTGCTATAAATGCAGTGTATTTATGTCTGTGTCACTTTGTCTTAGACTGATGAGGTATAATTAACTTAGTGATGTCCGATCATGTTTCAGGTTGTGCTATATATGAGTTAGCCTCTTGCTGGGCCAAAAGAAAAACAATACTTTAGTGTCAGTCATATAACAGTTAGGCTTGCAAGAAAGATAAAAAGAAAGAACATCCTGTGTTTAAATGTGCACAAATGATGCAAACTAGAGATATAAATTGAACTGGACATAAAGTGCATTAGATTGGAACCTCATATTTCACCTTAAAAATGTTTGTCCTTGGCACCACTGCGCACATATCTGACCATGGATAAGGAGATTAATGGGCTCCTAGAAACAGATTTTTATCTTTTCACAAAGAGTCAGTTTTAGCGATTGTATAATGTCAGAAAAGCTGCACATGACATGATGGATTTAAGTAAAACTTCACCTTAAGAAAATCACTTTAAGATGACTTTTCTATTGTTAAAACACAGCGGTTATTGACTCGAAGTTGCATTTGTCCATCCTTGAAAAAAGTATTCAAGTGTTTGTCTTTCTTGCAGGTCCTGATCAAACAGATTGAATCATCCGACAGCATTCACACTATTGGCAGTGCCATTAGCAACCTGCTGTCCCTCACCCAGGATGGTCCTCAGCTCTGCAGCATCATTGCCAAGGTACTGTGTACACACCAGTGGACTGTGTACTGTCTCACTTCCTTGCTGACAATAGTTGCACCCGACTGGCTACAGGTTTTTTGCTGGCCTTCCTAAAATAATGGTGGGACATTCATTTTAAGTCTGTGACCTCACTTCTTTGCAGAGGCACTCCTGTTACGATCAGTTCCACCAGTGTTCATCATCTGGGCCAGTCGACCTGCATGTGGCAGCTATCTCTTTATACGTGCTCTAAAAAGCTATTTCACTGTGAGATAAGACAAGACAGACCAGACAGCAGGTCGCTATCGGCCATTAGTTAGTCGACCGCTTCCAGGACACTCTTGATAAGACTCTTCCTGATGGCCCGCACACACATACATCCACCTCATCTGCAGCCAGATTGTGAGATCAATACTGTCAGCTACCATTAGGAGTAAGCATTGATCACAAATACAGGTTGCTCAGGTGTTTTTACCTCTTAACTCCCGTAGTATTGCCGCTGGCCAAACCCTCACAGAGGTGTCTGGGGGAAACCTGCCTGCCAATTGCTGCTAATGAATACCCAATACAAAACATGTCCACCTGCCATCTGAGTTAATTAGCTTCCAGCTGTCTGTCTGTCACAGTCTCACATACACACTCTCCACGGCATTGTGCATCATGTGGCTCATATCTAAGCTCTTTTCTCATTATAATTTTCCACAGCCTGCTGACTTTACTCATGCACTTATTTTGAATAACTGCAATTAGCTGTTTAAATGCTTGGGTGGGGACCTGGTATTTCCTCCTCCTCCATCACTATACCAATGCTGCTGCTGAGTGTTTAGAGAGCGATGTGCTCTGCATGGAGAAGTTAAAAAAGCAGATGGGTGGAGTTTAATAATGTTAAACATCATAATGGATACCAGACAGTTAAGGCAGTGGAAGCGTTCCTGGGAAAATGGGAGAACTGTGTGATAATTAGGTATTAACTTGTAATTTACATCCATTTTTCTTACATTATGGCAATAGTGGGTCCTTTTTTTTCCCCTCATTTTGCTGATTTGTTGCTAATACATCAACTTGAAAGGGATGGCTGTCACTTGGTCATAAGTCATGCACTGAATTTTGTTTAATAATTAACATTAAATAAATAAGTTCATACTCTTAAGTGAAAGATTTGGGTACTTGAATCTGATTGAATTTATTTCTTGACATTGTGCTGAGCGAGTACTGCACAGAGGGTTTATCAGAGCTGTTTTTTTTTATTTTTTTACTGAAAACATCTGTCTTCTGCTGGAAACTAATGAGAGCTGTGAGACTAAACTAAAACAGTAAGGCTGTAGGCCACAAAACCAAAACAATGAACCGAAAGATGCTCAAAAAACCCCTGTGAGTTGAAAAAGAGCCGCACAGTTGAGCAATAACTGTGTTTACATACAAGCAATTATTTGATTAATTGCTGATATTGTCAATGTTAATTAAAGCAGCTTTGAAGAAACTGCACTGCATATGGAAAATAACATGCATTAAAAACATGTACATGACAGGACAGACATCTTTGCGTGACAGTAATGAAGGGAGCTGCACAAACGATGTAAATGTGTGAAAATAGGGTGAGGAGATCTACCATCTCTCATCTCATGCCCCGATTGTAATAACACATTATTTCAAAACATATTCAATGTTTTATTCTCATGTGCCTGTCATGTATAATTTATATTATCATAGGATAATGTCCTCAAATGATCGTGACTGGTTTGGGATGACTGAGTGAACCGCACCAATCTGGTGTACTGAGCAGGTCAGAAGAAATCGTACAAATTACTTTGTTAGTGCCTGCTTTTAGACCCACCCATACTGACAAAACTAATGAAATAAATGCTGCACATTATTCTAAAAAGAATCTCACTGTTTGTTATGCAAGCCAAGAGTAATTTTCTTGACTTGGGGTGTTACAGTCGTAAAACATTTTGATTTTTAGGATAATTTGTGTTCTTATTTTTACCTAATCTGCATCTTTTTTGGACTCTGAGAGGAAACAAAAGCAGCAAAAAACTGTTATATAAGCTAACAGTCCTCAATACTGAGCCTTGTGCCATAAATCAAACAGCAGCTGGAATGTTACAGTGACTGTGTAAGTGAGTTTGCTGTCTCAGTGTTTACCTACTGTCATGATGGATACTGATCTAAACGTGTCCATGTTGGCAGGCTCCTCATATGTGTGTCCTTGCTCTGAAAGCTGTCGACTGCAGGGTGTGGGAGGGCATGACGTGGCAGTAAGTCATGCCTGGTGAGAGTCAGTGTGTCATCAAAACTGTGTGGGTTGAAAGAAGTTAGAAATACAGTGCATAAGGATGTGAAATCTCTACTAAATTGAACTACACATTTGTCTCTTCATTTATGTCTTTCTCATGTCTGGATGAAAACTAAGTGTTCAAGCATTTAGCTTCTTCTACCAAACTACAGCTGAAACCAGTGAGGTCCCACGCAAATGAATTCAGTTTGTACTGGTGATCACGTTCCTGGTATAAATTGACTTCAACCTCTTGCAGCTCAAGAAACTGCAGACTTTAGGTGAGCAAGTACAACAGACCAAAGAAGTTAATTCAGGGAACTATGAGACGGAAAGAAATTACATGCTGGGTAGGCACAGAGAAGCATTTTTAGATGAGTAGTCAAGTTTCACATGATGATGTTAGTGCGGCAAGTACCAAAATGCATGAGTGTGAGAATAAATGTGTTCTGTGGGCTCCATTTAAGGAACGAGGATGAAGTCAGTGGAAGCAACAACCGCAAGTCGTTTGACACGGGAAAGGAAAGAAACTGCCGACAAGCCTAACAATGTGTGAAAATAAAAGCAGTAGAAAGTCTGTGAGGATGAAATAAATAGAAGGTTGCTTCCACTTCACACTGATGATTGTCTGGATAAAGGCTGGAGATATTGTTTTCTCTGATCAGTTTCTGATTTTAGAGCAGATTAAGAAAGATTGCAGCAGCTATATGTTGTAAAGTTGCATATACTGTGTATATACAGTATACATAGATGATATTGTGGCTCCGTTATGCAGTCAGACCATCCAAACACTTTGATCATCACGATGAAACAGAAATCTTCTCCTGGCTACAGAGGTTAAAATAGGATTTGTTTTAAAAGTCAGCTGCTTCTCTGCCAATTGCACTTTTGGTATTTTCATGGCTAAGTGCTAGCAGGTCAAAAAAAAAAAAAACAACAACAAAAAAACAAATGAAAAAACAACAATAAACTGTTACACTGTTACAGGTTTAAGACAAAACTTTTCATTTTTATTGAAGATTCGCTGCCTTCAGTTGCACCTCTTACATGTATACAGGTATATTTTCAGCATTTTGACTGTAAATCCATCCATCCATTATCTATACACCGCTTAATCCTCATTAGGGTCGCGGGGGGGCTGGAGTCTATCCCAGCCGACTTAGGGTGAAGGTAGGGGACACCCTGGACAGGTCGCCAGTCTATCACAGGGCCACACTTAGAGACAGACAACCAAGCACATTCACATTCACACCTACAGACAATTTAGAATCACCAATTAACCTCAACATGTTTTTGAACTGTGTGGGAAGAAGCTGGAGAACCCGGAGAGAACCCACGCTGCACGGGGAGAACATGCAAACTCCACGCAGAAAGATTCCGATGCCCCCACCGGGACGCGAACCGGCAACCTTCTTGCTGCGAGGCAACAGTGCTACCAACTGCACCACCCTGCAGCCCTTTGTCTGTAAATGAGAGTGTAAATATATATGTAGAGGTGTCATAGATACAGTTTGTTATCTCCTGTTATTTTGGTTAATGGCTGATACCCAGGAGAAGTAGCTAACTAAACTTTAAAACTTCCGTTTAACTTTTCATCCCTTAAAACACAACTGCAAAATATAATTCTACTTTCAAAACAGACAAAAAACTATTTCAACCAAAGAACTAAACCTCAAAAGTACAATGGGTCCTTTAGTTTCTCCACAGATCTCCTCCTAAACATTATTTTTAAAAAACAACATTTGCGTCACAGTAAAAACTACAGGATCAACAGGCTCTCCATCACCACCTGAGCAATTTGAATCAGCATTCGAGACACTCGGACTTTCAAAAGGATGACAGAAAACTGTCCCTCAGTGTCGGCAGTTCTTGCAGGTATGGTGGTCCAATATTGTGTAGGCAGCGAACAGGGAAGAGTGGTCAGGCTGGAGGGCAGGATGATTAACCACTCCAAGCCCCGGCAGCATGGCCTGAGCAGCGTATGAGACATGCCAGCCCAGTATAATGGCCTTATTAGGATAATGGTGGTAGTTACAGGCTTCGTCTTCCTCCAGGTAATTCTATCTGTACTGTGAATAGAATTCAATACCTGCAAGTGTTTTTTGTCAGAGGGGTGCTTTAGTGTAGACATGCAGCCAATACAGGAGCTATTTTTGCTTGTTTACACCAAACATAATACAACAGAAAATGCTCAGCCATTACGGTGAGCAGACAATTTTTTTTTCTGCTTCGTGTTTTCCATTCATGAAATATGAATATTTTGGCTGTTTTTGCCTGACGTGATAAATTGTGTTCGGCATTTGATAGGTTCTATGGTTGGCAGGCTCGCTGAGTGAAGCCAGCCAAATCCACCGGTCATTTCGGGTCTCTTGGACTCTTTAAAACCAGCATTCTGCTATTGGCTTACATCTGGAGGGCTTTTTGGCTCTCACGCCACAGTCTAGCAAGAAGCAATTTGATCCATCATTTTGCACAATAATGCGTGCTTCAAGACAAGAGCTGACAATCACGTATGGCATATAATTTGATGGTATGAAGCCTAATGTCAGGCCTTTAAAAGTCTCAGAAGAGTTGCGTTCTGAATAAAAGTTGGTTTCCTCACCGAACCAACTTTTTGCCCCAAGTTCTCTTCTTTTGTGATAATATACAGAGAACTAAATTGAACCAACACAGTACCCAAAAAGATATCAACAAAACTAAAATGCCCATAAAAGAACTCAACTCAGGGTACGTCATTATGTGGTATTGCTGGCTATTGTTAATATAAAGATTTGTCCAATGTGCCTTAAGCATTTTATTAACACCGTGTGACTATGCAGCTGTGTCTCTCTTTTTCCCATTTTATTGCACTCTCAAATGCAATAGCAACCACAAGTGTGATCAGCAGTAATAGTTCTTCTGAGTGAACAAGGCATTGAGTGTAATGTATGTTTCATGCTGGAGTTGTGGGGAGGTGGTTGAGGTGGATGGTGAGCATACAAAGCACAGTCGATCAAAAGTACTCTGGTTAAGGTTCAAGTAAGAGAAATATTGTAATTTTGTTTAAATGCTGATGACCACGTTGTGTCTGTATTAATACAAGGTCACGATCTTTCCCAAACCTGCACTAACTGCTGCCATTGTTTTGGGGCCTGCAGACAGTAGGTGTGGTACAAAGTGAAGGCATACAAACATTAATGATGGAGAAAAGAGAGCAACAAAAGCAAATGACGTCATGGCTTATGACCTCAGCCTTAAGCTGAATACTGTTTAATAGCCACAGTGAAACTGTTAAACAGCAGTGCAGGATTAGTACACACCTTGATACACACCAGCCTTTTAAAATACAGGTGTATGTTCTGTGTTGCTTAGGCTTTGAAACACGCACAAAAAGACCACATAATACATGCACAGGACACAATAGCACATGACGGGATTTACACTATGTGAAATGTTACTTTGTGAATTTTCACTGGGAAATGTACCAGTTAGAGGAAATGAATTAAGTTTGAAGTCCTGCCTTTGACATGTTGCATAGCTGATGGAAAAAAGTAAGTGAAAAATCTGTGTTTCTAGTTAATAGTAAATGCTTAATAAAAAGAAATGTAGTTTACCCTGGTCCCTTGTGTGCAGTTAATGCCTTTACTGTAAGAGGAAATAAATCAAGTTATAATAATAATAATCGTCATTGTCTTCTTCTTCTTTTTCTTCTTCTTCTTCATAATCATCATCATCATCATCATCACATAATTCTAACTCTTATAAACTCTTTCTTAATACCACGTTTTTACAGCAGATGATCAGCCGCAATTTAACAGCCTTATTCTGTTCACCTCATCAAGGCTCACACAGTGGATGACTGTGGGAATTTACATGTTCACATTTTGGCATCAGGGCAGATTTCTGGAGCAACAAGATCTTTCTTAAGGCCTAAATACAAAATTACATTTCCGTCTTCTGCAGGAAGGAGCTGTGGTGGCCCTGTTTAAGATCTGCAGGCAGGATCGCTTCAGAGACCTCTACGCTCACGCTTTGAGAACAGTTGCCTCCATCTGCTGTGTGGAGGAGGGCATTAACCAGCTAGACAAGGTAAATCTCTTTTTTACAGACACACAAAAACACAGATTTTGCCTTTCACATGTTGTAATGCGTGGATGCTAATCTTAAGTTTAAAACAGTTGACTCCAACATTGACCCTTTGCAAAAGTGTCTCATTACCAAGATGTAAATTTCCAATTTATACTGCCAAAGACTTCCTAACCTAAACCTTATTATATTCTATGTAATGATCTTAACAAGACACAATTATTGAATGCGATAATATGTGATCACATGAGTAAGGATTTTTGCTCTGACAACATGTACAACAAACACTCCTGCACAAAAATGCATGGTGCATCTCACAAATTACAAACTATTCAAAGAAAAGAGAAAAACTGAGGTCAATGCCACAATAATAATAGATGACCGCATAACATCTTTAATACAATTAATTATTTACCAGGGCCAGTGCTCACTGATTTACAGATAAACTGAATAAATGAAATTGACCCTTCAGGCAATTTTTCATCTGTACTTTGGGAGTTGATGCAAAAAATAAAATTAAAAAAAAAATCAATTAATTTGAGAAGAAAATGGTACACGAGGCACCAATCCAGATTTCCCTGTAATGGAAAAATGGCTGTGTGGCTGTGGATACAGAAAGTAAGATGACATTAATCTCAAGTCAGTGAGTACAGTTCTTCCAGTAAAAATCGTGGCTGCCCCCAGTCCGGCCAGATGACGCTTACAGTCGTCAGCTGAAGTTGTAGCTCAGACACGAGACTGTTGCTCTTCCCAGCAGCACAGTATATTTTGCCTACTCCTTGGTCAGCCCTCGTCCTCTCACTTTCCTCATGTTATGACTGGGAGGCTGCAGTTTGTTTTCACAGGTGAATATGTGCCAACAATGGCAGCAGGACGAAGCTCAGCTGCACACAAGAAAGTGTGTAATCATGAAAGACCAACAGTGAAAAGAAAGATTTGTCACTGAAAAAACTAATCACTGGATGTTTTTAAAATGGCTTTAATACATCTATATAGTTTTCAGTGCCTCTGTGTAACTCACATTTCATGCGGGACACATGATCCTATGCTATTGTTGCTGCTGGTGTCAGTTTTTTACCATAATTAAGATCATGTTTCCAAAAACCCTGATTACTGTCAGGACTTATTTGTCTTTTGCAGAAAAGGATTAACATGCTACAGGTGATTAAAGCATCTGTTAATGTCATAGACGAGCGGCGCAGAAACGAGCAGGATGAGCCAAATTTAACAGCTTTCGTTTATAACAAATTATTAATGTCACACCTTTTCATTGTTCAGGAGGCAAAAGTTGACTCTTATTTTTTGGGGGAACATTTGAGTGCAGTAGCTGAGTTTCCTGGCTTTCTGTTTACTTGATTAAATTTTCATGAATGAGTTCTCTAAGTACAGTTACTTCATGGCTGCCATTAAATCTCTGCTGTATTATTTAAAGACTCGGAGACAGTGAAAAAATGTCCTTTTAGCTTTTTTTTTGTCATACAGCACACACACCAGAACATAACTCATGACTCACGGTGAGTCTCACAGCATTGAGATCATTATAAGGGACCTTCTGACCTTCTGAGCTAAAAGGTCAAATAGAGAGCAACACTTAGTATGTTTCATGGAAAGGACGTGAGACAGGGAGAGCAAGAGCTAATGAGACACCTATTTTCGTTTGTCCTTATTTGTTCTCTGTCGACAATTCAGACGGAATAAACAACAGACACACCTGTGCCAAGCAAGGGTTTACAGAAAGACAAATACAACTTGTTTCCAGTGAATAATGATGCCACAGCGGTGCCTGTTCACATGTACAAGCAGCTGGGACGGCATAAACCATTCGAGTGTGAAAACTCTTTAACGGGAACCAAAGTCCGCCCCACATTAGCAGCCTCATCCTCGGGGAGAAGCTGTCAGCCAAGTCTACGCTACCAAGCGCTCACCGACGACCGCTCAGGCTTGAGAAACACAACTGTCACTGTTGAAGGGTGATCAAGAAAAGGGGCCAGTACGCACCTGTACTGCTCATTGGTGGATATACTTCTTAGTTTTATCCCCAACTGGAATGTTATGCAATTGTAACGTGGTGTATTGTGGAAAGTTGCTCAGTGAGCTAAGTGACTCAATGAACAAAGAAAAACAACAGCTTTCCTTCCTATACTACAGTCATCACTCCATACTATTATGGAGTGATGACTGTAGTATATAACTGAAAGTTAAGGTTTCATCCATTGTTTTAAACATCGAGAGTATAAAATGCAGAGTGAATATGAGCCTGCTGAAGTTTAACAGACACACTGACTGTGTTGTGTAGAGTTGCATCGTGTGATGAACCACACCCTGGAAGTGTCATATAGACAGAAGTAGTCCTGGTACGGAAGGCCGGATGTGCCTGTGGCTGAGTATTAATGTAGTGTTAAGAAACAAGAATAACTCAGTGTCTGAACTTAAGAATCTGCTTTTTTTTTTTTGCCTGCAACCAAAAACCACTATTTAATTTCTTAACACTCAAACACCAGTGACCAGGTGCCATCAAGCAAAAGCTAGAACCTGTGTGCAAGTGTGGTAAACTTTACGACTCTTAAAAATGAAAGAAAGTTATTTATCATCGATCCTGAGACTTAAGTGAATGAGATGCATCCTGTGTCCGGTAAATGAGGAGTAGGGGAACATCCTACTTTAGGGAGGAGGAGGAGGAGATGCAGGTAGGGGAGAGGGGGAAGCAGTGGATGAACAGGGGTGTGGAGAGCAGATTGTTCCACGTCAGTGGGTCGCGTTGGCACAGCGCTGCTGACGTCCACAGAGACAAAAATAGGGAATTGCCCTGCTCGGCTCAGCGCGCTGATGCTCGTCAGCAGATAAGACTGACAGGTGTGGCTGGCTGAGAGCTGGAGATTTGCTCCACTCAGAATGTCTGGAAACTTTTTGAGAGTGATGGCTGGCGGTGACGGTGCATCAGAAGTTTTTGTTTCACCTTTTCCTAAATGATAGAAATCAAAGATGTGACTGAAACTGATTAGTAAAGAAAAGGTGGAAAGTGTCCCGATGCTTCATGTAATTAATGCAATTTTTCCACAATAGTTTAGATGCAAGTCCCCAAAATGTAAACGACAGCCTTTCATTTTATGATTATGACTTGCAATATGTAGTTGGGATGATTTTCAGTGTTTGCTCATTTTCAGCACTTACTCATATGCAGGACTTGACAGCTAGTGCAGACAGATGCAGAGTACCAGTCAGCAGGTGCAGGGAAGTTTGTATAAACTGAGCAACACTGCCCCCAAGTGGATGAAGACCAGTTCTGCATCTGCTTTATTTCCCAAAGCCTCCACACTCATTACACACACATACACACACACCCAAGCAAACACAAGGATGAGATCAATGTATTATGACCTCATGCCCCTGAGCAAACTTTACTTTACACAGAAGAGGATTTCCTGCTCCTCTATAACTCTAAGCTCCTCCCTAAACCCGATGATGCACACTCTCTGGGTCGATGCCAGTCAGATATACAAGAGTTTCTCACTCACTCTGGTGGCCATTAAATCGGAGTGGTGTGTTTTAATTGTGATGTTTTTATGGGCAGAGCTGTAAGTTTTGGCCAAGCTGACGCCCTGGATGAGCACGGTGTCTGTCTGCTTGGCTGGTGATGCTGCAAATACACAATATAAATGAGCACATCCCCACTTAGGTATTGAATTGATGCAAGCACAATTCGGTGGCATTAATCTGATGGCCGTGAGTCCCCTTAAATCTGTGACAGTGGTCTTTGCACTTTACATGACACTGTAAAGTGTAATCCATATTTTTAGACTGATTTCTAACCTTCTTGGCAGCTGGTGGTTTCTATTTAACTTAACTTTCAATACAGCAATCAACAAACAGGCTTCAGACTTTAGGTGTGGATATGTTCAGTAATGCGTCATAGTCAACATAAATTGGCCTTTTTTTAATAGGGAGTGTGAAACATCTCCGTGGTGCATTGTGTGTAAGACACTGAGAATATTTTGTGCTCTTTAAAATATGTAAAGAAGTTTAATACGAAACGTTTTGCCTACAACAGTCAGTGGACATTGATGTCACTTATTGTGTAGCTTAAAATTATACTTCATCTTACGGCAAATATGCTATGGTCTCCATTCCGTGTTTAGGTATGCCAGAGAGTAGTGTCTAATACAGTGGTGGAAAGTACATTTGTTCAAATACTGTGTTTCTGTTTTATGTTATGCTTCCTCTCCAGTACATTGTAGGCAAATACTGTTCTTTCTACTCTGCTACATTTATCCGACAGCCTCAGTCACTGGAAAGATGCAGATTATCCACAACTGATAATTTAATTAGCATTTAAGACACACTGTCAAAGACTCAAACTGTGTTTTTTAAAAACATTTTTGGCATCTTATAAAAATCAGCTTCACATCTTAGACGTCTATGAGTTTTTTAACAGCTCCACCAAACAGAGATTTTTCCATCTAAACTTCTCACATGGTTTTAGTTCAGTAAATATTCTAGTGATCCAATATCTCATCAAAAATCAAAGGTACGAGAAAGCGTCCAAAAACTGAAAACAGATTTGGTTGTTAGAACTTTTTCCCCCCTCTCCCATTCATTAGGGGGGCAAGTTGTCAGATTTATCTGCTGTCCCTACATATGAAACTTTATATAAAGTAGTAAAGCAGCTCCACCTGTAGCAGCTACAACAGTAACATGCTGCTGACACACTGGTGCTTCACTATTATCAAATATTGATATATATATAATAGTATATCAGTCAGGGGACTAAACCACTTTTACTTTAGTACTATAGCCACATTTTGGTGCTAATACCAACACACTCTTACTTAAGTAGGATATTTAATGCAGGTCCACATGCAATGGAGTATTTGTACATGTACATCTGTAATCTGTGGGTACTTTTAATTACTGGTACAATGTAGACATTGTACATATTTTTCTTATAAAGAGCACAGTATTTGTTCAGCATCATGTACTGTATATACGGATAAACATTTCAGTTATAGGGTTGTTAAGAAAGTGACTACTGTAATAAGTAATATTTTAGAATGTGTCACCATAGAAGTTTTTGTTATTGCATATATATACAGAGTTGCATATATAGGACATCAAGATCAAAAAATTGGAAGATGTAAGGATAGTTTAGAAGGAATATTTTCCAACTTGAAACAACACAAGGTGATCTTTAGTTGTTGTGATTTTAATAAAGATTTGTTGAATCCAAACAAGCTCGAACTGACTGTATAGTATGAGTTTATATCCATGGATCGCCAGGCCACGTAAAGTAACAACACACTGTGCTGCTTTAATTGACACTATATTCACAGATAATATGGAAAATGACATGGGTAGTGGATTGCTGATAAATGAGAGGAGCCACCACCTCCCAGTGTTCACAGTTTGCAATTGTAATTGTAAAGAGAGTAAATGGACACAGGAAATCAAATATAAGCATAAATGAAACAGCTATGGAAGCGCTAAAAAGTGAATTACTTCTACAAGACTGTAGCATAGTTTACGGAAGTTTAAGGAACATGATGTTAACACAGCATATGGGATCTTTTTGAACATATTTGTAATATTGAACAACAAATAATGTTCCATCAAGATCGTCAATCAAAAGCAAAACTGTAGTGGAAAACCCTGGATACAATCAAGCCCCTATAAGAAGAAAACCTTTTTTTAAAGAGAATTTATGACGACGAGAACTACAGATGATGAAAACAGATATAAGATATCGAAAAATAAATTACCCAATGTAATGAGAATTTGTAAGAAAGAGTATGAAGATAGAATATTAAAGAATAAAAGCAATATTAAAGCCACATTGAAAGTATTGAATAGTGTTATTTAAAATAGAACTAGAAATGGAAAGTTACCCACATTTTCTCAGTGGAAAATAACAGAACTATAAATAATAGTTATGAAATTGTACATGAATTTAATAAGTTCATTCTAAGTGTTGGACCAAAACTAGCAAATGAAATAAAAGATTCAGGGACTGCAATGGCTGAAGATCACAGTTCTGTAGATTAATCTAAGGTTAATGTTTCTCAAACTCATAGATGAGAAGGAAAAACTAGATGTGGTTAGTAAATGTACACCAAAGACATCTACTGACTGTAATGAGATTGGTATGAAATTGTAAAAAAAGGCAATAGAAAGGATTGTAAAACCATTAATGTATATATGTAAACTAATTATAGTACTAGTGTCAATGCTTCCACAATTCTCCAAAGTGTTGAGGAAGCTATTTATTGAAAGGTTAGACAATTTTATTGGCAAAAATGAAATATTAATGGACAGTCAGTATGGATTCAGATCAAATAGATCAACAGCAACAGTGTTATTAGAAATAACAGAAGAAATAACTTCCATTGATTAGAAGAAATTTTTAGTAACAGTGTTTGTAGATCTTACAAAAGAATTTGATACTATAAATAATGAACTACTAACTAATAAATTGGAAAGTGATGGCAGAAGAGGAGTAGTGTTGAACTGGTTGAAAAGTTCTATTAGTAACAGGAAACAATTTGTACAACAGAAATCGTGTGATGTCCCACAAGGGTCAGTTCTAAAATCCATGCTGTTGGCAATTAATAAAAAATAAACTGTGATTTAGATAAAAATAGATTACTCTGGTATTGAAAGAGTTTATGAAAATAAATGTCTAGGTGTGGTACTGGATCACAAAGTTAGTTGAAAACCTCATAAAAATATAAGGGCAAAGCTGTCAAAAACATTCTAATTACTACGAAGTACAAGACATATTTTGAATTTAAAAGCTTTTTATATATTCTACTGTTCACTGTTTAAGTTACTTGACCTGCTGTGCATGAGTGTGGTGTAACAGATATATTACTGCATTACATCCAATAAACATATTACCAAAAAAAAAGATCAGGATAGCACATAATGTGGGATATAGCGAGAGCACTAATATATTGTTTTCCAAAGCAACTACCTTGAAATGTATTGACTTAGTTAAATTTAGATCAGTGCAAATAAGATTCAAAGCAAGCAACAACTTACTCCCTGATAACATACAACAACTGTTCAGAAGAAAAATTACAAGTTATGAAATGTCCAATTTAAAAAGCCATTTACTCGTACCACCATAAACAGTAAAGAGTTTGTCAGTTTGTGGAGTAAACTCATGGAACAATCTGGACAATGATCTCAAATGAATACAATTATAAAACGATAATAATAACAATAATAATAGTAGTAATAATAATAATAATAATACAGTAAACAATTGCCTGAAAAATGTAATGTGGAAAAGTAAATGTGTTCTGGAGTTCTTAAAGGAGATGTAAGGCTTGATGCTTACAGGAAACAGTAAGAGATGAGATATACATATATGTAGTTGGTCGGAGTTAATAAGTTAAACTTCATCCTGCTCGTTTTCAGACATTATTTTAGGTTTTGGATTTGATTTGTTTCTTTTTATTGTGTATTTATTTTCTCTTTTGCCTTTATGATGCTGTGGCATGTCAGTAAATCAAATACATAAAAAAAGCACTTCCCCCATAAAGAGACTTACGCAATCCACTAAATAGCCGGTAAATCATTTAGTACATACATGATAAACATGTAGATCACTTGTATAATTGGACAATCTTTGAGCATTCTGTAAACTGCTGTAGCTCTGTTTGTCCAAACATTTTGTTTTTTTCCTTTCAAATTTACTGTAAATCTAAAAATTAAAAGGAACAAATGAATCAAACAAAAAAAAAAAGAATCTTGTGTTTCCACTGTGCCCATAAAGCTTGTTTTTGGTCTGATGTGTAGGTGGATGGGATTTTGTGCCTGGCAGACATCTTGACTGATGAAAGCAGCGTGGAAGCAGCCAGGGCCGAGGCGGCGGCGGTCGTGGCTCAGATCACCTCGCCTCACCACACATCCACACAGCACCTCGCCAGTTTCCTGGAGAGCATGCACGACATCGTCACCGCACTCATCAGTGAGTCAATATGGCATAAATGCCATCCTGTCCTTTGACTTACTGGAGGCCTCAGCCTCAGCCAGGATGGTTCAGCGAAACAAGATCGGAGGAATGCAGTTTATTTAAACTAAGCCTTAAGATCAGGCTCACTACAGAACCTTATGGAGTTCCTCTAAATGTCTACAAAACTCTTCAGGTTCACTCTTCTTGCGTTATGTGTGCTGTTGTGTTTGTTGAAACCTCAGTGAGTGATGTTTTATTCCCTCAGAATTGTGCGAGAGCGCCTCCTGTGGTGAAGTATTCCTCCTGGCTTCTGCAGCCTTGGCCAACATCACCTTCTTTGACAGCATGGCCTGTGAGATCCTCCTGCAGCTTAACGCCATCCAAATCCTGCTGCAGGCCTGCAAAGACCGCCAGAGAGTCGACACACCTTACTCCAAAGACCAGGTACGCATCTGCACTGAAGCGATGTTTCTCACAAGATATAAAATAGAACAAATATCAAAAATAGGTCAACACTGAAAGGTAAAGTGCTCGCTACAGAGATCAGTGAATATGTGTGTGTGTGTCAAAGCTTTAATCATGTTTTTATTCACTGTTGTGTAAATCTCAGGTGGTGACCATCTTGGCAAACCTTTCAGTCTTAGAGCAGTGTGCATCTGAAGTCCTGCAGGAACAAGGTGATCTCTTTTCTCACTATAATTTATATTTAAATGTTGCACAAAATTGTTATTTTTTTGCGGCAGAGCTACAGTTTTAAAGCAAACTACTGAACTACAACTGCAGTTATTAGTGAAGGTAAAAGCAAAGAAAATCAGTGTAATTCTTCATTAGTCCTCAGGAGGGCAGCATCAGGTAACATCTGTCAGTAGCTTAGAGGAGCTGAAAAATAAGACATCCACTACTGGGCATAGTAAATATGTTTTTAAAATAACGCAAAATCATTTTAATATTTATATTTAATCATGTTTTTCATTTTTTCATCATTCACTATTTAAATGTTCTCTCATATCAGATATTATACTATGTTGTCAGTTCTGTCTCCTTTGCTCCTGCATTTCATCATACATAACACATTTTATTGGCTCTACGCTTTTTATATCATGCTATAAAACAAATCAATAGATTAATGTGTTTTCACTGTGGCTGTGTCAGTTGTTGTTTCCACATTTTTGAGTCTTTCTTGCATTGAACACCTCTTTAAAAAAAGAAAAAAAAAAGTCTCCAAATATATCTCATGGCTTGTTCATGTCTACGTTGGTACAGTATAGCTGACAAGTCAAAGAATGTAATCACAGAACAAATAGCTAGAAGGAATCATTGTTTGACATCTGCTCAGTGTACTTCAATGTCAGTTTGTTGTATTCTTTGTCCCTGCAATTATAAACTGAATTGTCCTGATGTAGCGAGCCTGGGCCTCTGAAGAACAATAACCAACTGACTGTGTTGCTTTATTTCTATCTGTTATTATATTGAGTGTTTTTATGCTATTGACTTTCCTTTCAAACTGTGCTTTTGGTCCAAATCCTTCCTCACAATGACATGTGTAACGTCTGGCTTCTTTCTAATTCACCTGAACCCTTTGTTGTGTCTGAGTCTTGTGTAACTTTTTGTCTGTGAAGTTTCAAACTGTTCTCTTTGTGTCTCTGTGTTTGGTTCTCATGCCACCAGCTTTGATGCAAATTGTGTCCTGTTTTTATCTATTTTGCTGCTTGTTTGGTTCCTTCTTTCTTTTGCCTTGCTGTAGATGTGATGCTGTTTGGTGCAATTGTCTAATCTGTCTTGTAAATGCTGTCTGTCAGGAGTAGAGCGGCTGCTGCTGTTGCTGGGAGAAAAGCCCTCCTCCTCCAGTCCATCAGAGGGCGCCGCCTGCGAGCGAGTCCAGCAGAAAGCTGCGGTCACACTGGCCCGTCTGAGCAGAGACCCCGATGTGGCCCAAACAGCCATTCAGCTCAAAGGTGTTACAGCTACTGGTTTTTTTTTTGCTGAAATACAAATATTACTGTGAAAAGAGGAAAATTATTTGCAGAAAACAACAAAAACGAAAAAACAATACAGTAAACAAACAGAGACACCGACAAACATTTATGAATGTGGCTCAAAAAAAAAAAATGCTCTGAGCGCTGATGTTGCTCTAGCCACTAGAGGGTTCCCAAACAAAAAATATGATTAAAAAAATAAATAATAAATTGCTACAATTTACTGGCATGTATTTACGCTACCCTGTCTCAACTGTTTTATCATGTTTGCCTTGACTTAGGTAGATTAAATAATGCTTTGGGCTCCATAAATACTTTTGCCAGTTGTGAGTGAGGATGTCTAGGATTTAAAAAAATAAAAATAAAAAAATAAGGATAAAATATGTACTTGATTTTTTCTTTTTTTTCTTTTTTCTTTTTTAATTAAAAAATGAATTGGACATAATTTCTCCCCAAAAATGTAAACATAATTAAAATGGACATATAAGGCCTGAAATTTGCATGATGGTACTTCAATTGTAATTAAAGAGCCAAATTCACCATTCGAATGTGATGCTCTACTTATGCATCCTCTTAAGCCCCAATATTTATTTTATTTAAGTGAAGAAAATCCTCACCCCTCACAGGTCACAAGTCTTCCTCAGCAGACAGAAAAACCACTGCTTTAATGTACAAATGTACGGACTGACATCAAATGTACGGACATACATCTATTCCCTGTACAACTCCTCTCTCATGGGAAATATCTCTCTGTGGATACTTAAAAAAAATTTGACTATTGGAAATTTGTACAACACAACAAAAAGTCTAGTTTTCCTAAAGATGATACCAGTTTTGTCTTTTATTGAAACCAAAACAGACTTTTATCCAAAAGTCTACTGCACAAACCTCAGTCTGACATCAATATGTAAGAATGGGACAAGCCGGTAACTGAATTTTTCCTCTGCTGTCTTTAGCTGTTCCTCGTCTTATTGAACTGTGTCGCTCCCCTACTGAGAGAAATAACAGTGACTCGGTGCTGGTCGCTTGCCTGGTAGGTGTAAAGTGTGTGTGCGTGTGTGTGCGTGTGTGTGTGTGTGTGTGTGTGTGTGTGTGTGTGTGCAGACCTTCAGATATGTGTAAATGACTCTGTGTCCTGAATACAAATACATCATTCAAACATTCAAATTGCCTATTTCAGTCATGCCCTTAAAATACTATACATTTTCAGCTTCACCAGCTATATAGTAGTAGAAAGGCATTATAGCACAGGCCTGCATGTATAACATCAGTGCACCAAATCACTGCCTGATTTAATTACATCCACAGGGCAATATTTGAAAATTGAAACTATATCACAACCAGTATGTTTAAGTCATGTTGAGATAGCTGACCGGTTCACATCATCTCAAACGCGTGTTTAAATATGTACATATCATGAATAATATCACTACTTGTACTTTATCATTCTCTCACTCTGATCCTAATTATTAGGACCAGATCTTAGGGCCGAAGAGGGGTTTTGAGGCATATAATGGTCAGGAGCTTAATTGGGTTGCCTCGCTGCACTGAGAAATGCCTTCTTCTTCTTTACTGTAACCGCACTTGTCAGTCTATTCAAATTAATGTGATTCCATTTTATCCTTTTAGCCAAGGGTTAAGTAGTGTGTTTGTAGATGTTGAATTTTTACCTTCAAAGTACGCTGAGCTTTCACAGATCATTTGTAATCGTAAATGTAAATGTCGGAGGCTCTCCTGGCTGAATGGCTTTAACACGTCACACATAATACTTACACGCTCTTCAAATCATGTGAGAAGTTGAAAAAAGAAAAAAGAAAAAAACTCTTGACGTGTTATTGAAACAACTCCTGGACGGATAGGATTGGATTTGTTAGTTTTATTACAGTCTCTTGTTGTTTGCTGATAATCTGCACACATGATTCAAAATGTTAAATTTGCACACTTACAATTCGACACTTGTCTGATTGTGCGATGGCATATTTATGTACATGCACAGTGTGATCTTGGCTTGCGATAACGAGTGTGCCTGTGTGTCTTTTGTGTTTGTGCACATGCGTGTCCGTGTCTCCAGGCTGCTTTGAGGAGGCTGGCAGCAGGCTGTCCAGACAGCATTGAGGCGGCCGACCACCAGCAGCTGATCAAACCGCGGCTAGTCGACTCGTTCCTGCTGTGTTCCAACATGGAGGAGAGCTTCGTATGACGGCCTGCGCACCAAAACACTGAGAAAGGAGAGCTGAAGTTGTGTACATACAAGATCATGTACTCTAAAACACCACATCTGTTTCATGACTTTGTGTCCTGAGAAGATTTACCCACATTTCCTTCTGGACACTCTGCATAATAAAGCAGTTTGAAGGGATGCAGAAGAATATGTGTAAATAAGTAAATGTGATGCCGAGTGCAACTCAGTGATCACATTAAATGCAATGAATGTGTACCGTGTTTGGGGAAAAAAAGGGCTCATTAGTTCATTTTATTCCACAGAGAATATCATATCAGTCAGTAATGTCAGTAATTATTTTGTACCGGTGGGTGCTACTTTTTAAACATAAAAGTATAACCTGTTCTGAAAAGAAACACTTTATATTCTATCAATCTGTGCAATTTTTATTTTTGTTTGGATCTGTACATATTGTTTCCAAAGCATTTTGGCTATCGAGAACAGATAAGAATCTTTCACACACTGTAAAGTAGATCTGACAGAAATGCTTTTCTGACAAACACAGATGTATGTCTCGTTAAATTCTTTTTAACTATTCAAAAAAAAGTCAGCAGCCACTTTATTTTGTCAACAAATCACAACTAAATTATTACAGTGACATTCCATGTTTCCAGTATTTGCTGATTAAGGCATGTGGCAACATGATGTGCTTTTCCTGGTATATAATACATATATTGCTTGTTAAAGCGCATTTTATGACACGTTGAATTGCTCTCTTAAACTTATTTGCCATTAATCCCAAATTTGTATTTGCTACTGGAAGATGAAGTTTAAAAATGGCCTTGAATTTGAAAATGCTTTTTATTTAAAGAGAATTACCATTATTGTATGCGATGCATGGAATAAAGGCAATTACCTATCTAATGCTGAATGTGTTTCATTGCATGTGCATGACTGGCACATACATTGTTTGAGCCATGTTGTGTTCACAAAGCTATATACTGGTTTTACATTTGAAAAGTCAGTCCAAGAGAACCCTGTGAACCCATTAGAACACATAGCTAACACTGTAAAGAAGGCTGACAGAGAAACAGCTTAACAGAGAAAGTACATTCATTAAGAAAGGCGAAAATAAGTGTAAACAAAAACTTTTAGGCCCTACCTAAAATTTTATTTTCACTTATTCCTAAAAGACCACTGAAGAAGGCTTGAGTTGGATTTGTTCTTAAGAAGCAAACATGATTGCATTTTAGTGAAAGGAAACCAGCAAATCAATCAGCCTGTGCACTGTTGGAGGGGGTTCCTTGGTTTCTGAGTACTGTTGTAAGTTTATCTTTGCTGTTATAAAGTCCAAAGTAATTTTGGTCCTCCTTTAAAGTGGTCAGTGTCTCAAAAATGACTACTGGGGGATCTGGTGGCTGTAGTGTGAAAAAAAAAAAAGAACAAATTGACATATTTTCTCCCAGCAGTTATCTCAGACGTAAAGCTGAGTGTTGCAGCAGCTTTGATAGACTGACATTAATCAGTTTTTGCTCACATCAAAGCCAAGAACCTGAGAATGTGACTTCTGGACTGGTATGACCTGTGCAACAGTGAAATTTACAGTATATTTGTTATAGAAAATTCATGACACGCATATAGAGGAGACTAAAAGGTGTGATCAGAAAGTTTGGATTCTTTCCATACATACACGTTTTACATCACCTGCAACATAGTCAGGCACATCAAACAGCTATAAGCAGCGAGGACGCCGCATGAAGCTGCACCATCAACATCAGGACGTGGGTTACATGGGTTTTTGTTACCACTTCTAGGTGCCCATTTGTAGTTTCACCATAGACTTTATCTTACTCAGCGGGTATAAACCTACCACTGGGCGCTCATTTCAGTCAGTTTCTGTTCTCCTTACGTTATCTATGTGTTACTGTTTTCAAAATCTCCTTCACTATGGCAAACAGCAACAACAAAAACCTTCAAGGAGCAACCTCTTTCAAGTCTGGATCTTTTTTTCTTTGGTGGATTATGGACTGTAATCACAGTGCTTGTCTCGCTGCATGCAAATGTTCCACCACAACAATTCCACTTGTCGCTATTTTAAGCAAACACCGAAGCCGCATTCTTTGCTTAGCTCCACCCATGACAATTGTGATTGGGTTTAAAGAAAACTAAACAAGGCAGAGCATTTCTCCCCTAAAGCAAAATGATGATGAGGTGCAGCCAGACCATTCTGAAGTTCAGAGTGGACTCTAATGTAAGACTACCATGTCAACAGGTCCAACAAAACCCAAGTGTCACATCAAGGATCATCACTGGTGATGAGAGCTGAGTGTATGGCTATGACCCAGACACCAAACAGCTGTAGTATATAGTATAATGTGGCCTGCGATGTCCAAGACTGAAGAAGGCAAGGATGTGCCTGATGTTTTCCTTGGCATTCACAGGTTTGGGCATCGTGAATTTGTCTCTCTTACGGTCAGACATCTGTGCATTTTCAACTGGCTCACAGTTGAAAATGCACAAATGGTTGACCACACCAACACAACTGTCACTCCTCATTTCGCCAGATTTGGCTCCCAGCTACTTGGTCCCTTCCCACTGTTGCCAACCGCTTGCTCAAAGGAAGTCCAAAGGCAACTTTGGATTGTTGGTTTCTCTGTTTAAATTTGTAAGGTCTATACCTTACGTTGTTAAGCACTGTGTGATAACGTGTTGTAAACTGCGCTATACAAATAAAATTGAATTGAATTGAATTGGGTTGTTATTCTGTCCAGCCAACAGCTTTTTGTCCACAGCAGGCAGTTGTTTCATTCAATAAGCTTAAGGAACACACTGTACCACCTTCTCAGCACCAAATAGCAGCCAGACACAGATAGCAGCTAGCTGGTGAACTTAGTGGTGCATTTATAGCAGCTACAGAGCTTTCCCTCAGGAGTTGGTGGAGACAAAAACCAGAGCAAAAACAGAGTAAATAGTGGACTTACATTTATAACGTGATCAAAACATGACTAAAAAGTCACAGGTTAGCTATCAGTAATATAATTGATTCTGCTGGCCTCGAGTGGCCAATAAAAACATTTAAATACAGTTTTAAGGCATGGACTGTAAATGAGGAAGTGTACATTCACACCTGCTTGCATCCCTATGACCAGTGTTAAGACATGCTTGAGAGGATGAAACTTAAAGTTACCTATTTTCAATTCCCACAGAAATTAGAAGTGTCTTTGAATAGAGACAGTTTGGTAAAACCAGCAGCACTCAGCCTCTGTTCATAGAAGAGTGCATTCAAGGTCCATGCAGCTGAAGTTTTCTGAAGGGCCCCCCTTGACCTCCAGCTATCTCAGAGGAACTACACTCACTCACATACCTGTCTTGTCACACAGAGATGAGGAAAGCTTTGAATGATGCTCACAGAGAAACAGAGACTAAGAGATGGTCAGCCCAAAGGTTTACCTGTTGGTCCTTCGTGAACCACCGAGTCCTCTCAAAGAACCCAAAGGTTGGGTGAAATACCAGAGCAGAGTTGGAAAAACTTGTCCTCAAAATGCCAGCTTTTCACACACTGAAAATCCATTCATTCATTTATTCACAATAGCATTGGAAAATGATTAAAAAGCCAGAGTGCTGCAAAGTTTTAATACAAAACTTTGAGCTCACAAGTGATTGTGGCATGATGCAATATGTAATAGCAAAGAAATATGTGAGGGCTGATCTGCAAAATGTGTCCTTTGTATTGTCATCTCTTTGATAAAAACACTCTGTTTTTTTCTCCATAAGCCTTCCTCTCCTTGGAGAGACAATTGAGGGTCTTCTTGCTTTCACTGTAGCTTCTTTTCACCTAAGGGCACTAATGCTGAGCCTGGACTTGTTACACTCCAGCCCAGTGTTGAGACAATTGAGCTGCTTTGTGTGTGCGGGTGTGTGTTGTCCAGCATACACGTGGGACTGTGTTCAGAGGCCTTTGTGATAGAATATGCTCCTGCCTCGCTTTGTTGAGACCCAATGAAATATGTATCGACGCAGAGGAGGACTAAACAGACGGCCTAAAAACACAGGTTCCTTTGATATTGTTTTGGATGGACCATGACCATAAGACCAAGCATTGTAGCTTGGAGTTTTTTCTCAGTTTTTCTCAGTTTCTGAGTTCTTGAACTTTCACTTTCCTTTCTCTCCATTATCTTCTGTCCAACAGTGTATCATTGCAGTAATTAAATGATGAAAAAACAACCAAGTTTTATTTGTTTTATTAAAAAGGCATCTAATGAAGAGGTTTGAGAACGTCAGAATTAACACTTTTGTTAGTAAAAATGAACCTCATGAATAAAATTCATTACTCCTTCACAAAGGCTAAGCTTCACTACAGAGTCATTTTCCTGTCATCTTCACTGTCTCAAACCATATATCACAGACATTTTGGGTAAGAAAAGGATCTGAGGACTTCTAATGCAAGAAGATACTTCTCTCTGACTCTCTTGAGATTTGAATATTTTATGTGTCACATCCTTTGCTTTTGACTTGAAAAAGTTTCTCACTGTCTTGCTCATTTTATTCCAGAGAGCTAAAAATGATTGAAATGTCTTCCTCCTTTGATAATGCTTTCAGAAGTTGATGCTTCACTTTTGCAAAACTCTCAAATTAGTATGAAATAATTTGTCCAAGTTTAGCAGTTGAATTCTTACGGCTGAAAGTGCTTTAAGTCTTCGCATATTTTTCAAGATGCGCATAGAAACTGAGAATCCTTGTTTCCACTGTGAGACCATTGATGAACTGCACTTCAGATGCAGCTCTGAAGAGGAACAAAGAGAGGAAAGATATTTTCAAGGAACGCATCAAGAAGCACATTTGGACAGATGTTAGTTGGCACGTTTGGCTCCGTGTGAATGCAGTCTGTTAGGACCAGTTCATAGACTGTCCCAGAGAGCACAAACTCCAAACTCATCTAAGTGTTTGTTGACCTTTACTGCCCTTAAATGGAACTCCTGAGGTTGTATTATTATTATTATTTTTTTTTTTACATGTGATTCAATTCAATTCAATTCAATTTTATTTGTATAGCGCATATTTACAAATAAAATTGAATTGAACTGATGTCAGAATGATATTCAGTTAAGTGGTTTAATGCTGCATTCGTGCATTCTGCATGGGAAGCATGGGACAAATAGGAAAATGTCCCATAATTTAGAATTTAGGAGCAGCAGTTTTGTGGTGACAGCTGACAAACAGCTTAAATAAGTAGTTCTTCCTTTTTTCTTTTTTTAAATAATTAAACAATATGATGTGAGCATTTTATTTGTTGCCTTTCACTAAGCAGATAGTCACCTTCTTTTTGCACAGAAGAGACAACAGCCCTTTAATGTTGTTCCCCCTTAAAGTGGATCAAAAATTACATCAAACTTGAAGCCATTTAGGAGATTTTTCCATTAAAAATATCTCTTCCTACCTTAAACTTGTAACTCTACCTTGTTGCTTTCTCTATAATGTGCAAATATTTTAACTCCCTCCTCTTTGTATACGTGACTCGCCCCATTTTGCTGCTGCTAGAGCGCACCAGCTCATCTACGACTCTGCTCAAACACCATAAAACTACTCAACGCTACACAATGGCAAGTTGTAATATTGGAGTAATTCTGCTATACATGTTCGAACCAAAAAACAATTCTGAGGAAGGTAGGTTCCCGCCTGCATGTTGAGTTATTTGGGTTTTGAACTTCAATTGTCTGCCTAAACTCCACTCGGCATTGAAGACAACAGAGGACGCTGGTCAACTCCACTCATTTTCCATCTTTATTTCATCTTTTCAACAATGGAATCAGGTTGAGTGTTTGTTAGTTGATAATCTTAAAAATAAAAAACACAAATCCATATTAATTAATTAATCCATCAACAATAATTAAAATTGTACATTTTATTAATTCCAAATCAAATGA